TTTTCATTTTTTCCATTTGAGAACATTGAATACACACATTTGCATCCAACAGGTTTAATTATAAGACAAAACACAGTTGTGATTAGGATGATAAATGGGCAACGGTAAAAATTATATGTACAAATGAGCCAAAATTGTTAAATTTCAGAATAATTGATTATTAAAAACATTTCTAACAACAGGAACACAGGACAGACAAAGTTACGTCCCCTTTACAAAACTACCTCATTAAATAACTGTGACTGTATACATATATAAAGTTATATTTATATATTTAGTGCTTGGAACATATTAATACATACGTAACAGTGAAGGGAGTTCAATGAGAAGGTAATTGATATATATTTAAGGTCACGGGGTCTACTGACTATTCAAGCAACGTTGACACAAATTTTACAATTTGAATTTTTCAACTGTGTAATCAATTTTATACATCGTCGGATACCCACGGCCGAACCATTAACATTTATTTTTTGATTGCATGTTATGTGACATGTTTATCAATCGTGGGTATCCGACGATGAATTTATAAAGTGGTTCGGTTCTGTGACCAGCGTGTGATTATTGTGCGGCGGCGTAATAAGGGCACGGTTATGGGTAGTGCCTAGTCCTATAAATATAACGTCGCTTTGAGATATTTTTGCTTCTGGTCAAAGCAACGTCATATCGAAATTGCTCAAAAACCCATAGCATGTTCCGCCAGAAAATCGGGCGGAACGAAAAACAATGAAGACAGCGTGTATTTACATATTTTTTGACCTATTTATGAACAAAACTAAAAAATAAATACCTTTTGTCAAATAATTAAACTGTCACATCCGAAAAAATCATGATTAAATCCTCTCATGTATTTCAATTCCTTTTACAGCCGATAAAACAAATGGCGGCCGTAAAAGTGCGCGAAATCTGATTGGCTAATTCAAATGCAAGCGTTTAATTGAGTCAGAACAATCTAACGGAATATTTTTTTAACGAAATAATTGCCCATGCACCGTCAGTGTGTTCGAATATATTTTTCCGTTCAAAAATTTGGAATCAATCTGTAAATCACCTTGCTTAACCAGTATGGCTGATAGACAAAAATAGATTGATGTTTATATTTTTATTTTAAATTGATAAATAACATCGTTTGACAGTTTTTGTGTATGATTGAGCATGAAATTGAAAGAAAATATGATAAGCTTTTGAATAAAGCTTGAAAGGCAGGACAATAGACATTTTTGGAATTTTTTATGATGCTATGCGTTTTTGAGCAATAACTATTAGACGTCAGGCTTGACCGACAAAAACTATAACAAGCCTGTAACGTCTAATATATTGGACTAGGGTAGTGCCGTGATAATCACAGACACGACTTTATAATTAATCAGTTTTATCCGAATGATAAATGATGATTATTGTATTCTAAAACCAGTTCTGCGTTTAATGGTATTTTTTTTTAGAATTCTACTATTTGTATTACCACGCTTCGTTATAATCACACGGTTGGTAGTAGTGCCGTGATAATCACACGTACGGTCTTGTGTACACTCCAAATAACACGAAAGGTCTCAACCCGGTACGGAATTAGACCCAGCCCATTGTAGTCTAGAAAGTAGTTCTTTAAAATTATGAAATGGCCCAATTTAAGTCATCTCTAGTTAGATTGTTCATAATTAAAGTGTATTTATTGCATGTGTGTAGTTTTTGTGTGTTATATGATGACTTTAAAAGTTGTTTTTTGTGTATTCTCCAGGAACTCATTTGTTGGTGGAAGGATTAAAGATGTACTACCCACCAGCTGTCAGGAGTTTTTAAAGTGGTGAATTTAAACAGTGTTACAACAGAATGAAGATTTCTGAAAAAAGTAGATGGCTAACCTATTATATTTTGGGCATCATTTGACTTAGATAGTTTTAATGTATAAAGTTGAAGACAGTATATAATTCATCAAGAACATTGGAATCCAGAATTAAACCTCAAATTTGACTGATTTACTATAGAACTAATAGTACGAAAATTCACCGGGCCGAGTCCAAGATAAGAAATGTCAAAAATGGGAACTGGTTGATGGATATGGATGAAACTTTGCATCAGTGTTGTGTTTATGAATAGAAGTCAGGAAAATAAAGGATTACTGACAGGTTTGAAAATTTTAAATTTTATTTCAAATTTTAAAATTTGACATTTTAAATTGGGACATATGTTGTTGTTGTTGTTATCTCCCCTTCAAATGTAGATGTCTGCTACTGTGTCAGTAAGCAGGGAGAAGGGTACAGAGCTTTTGCATGAAGGATTAACCACATTTTATTGAATTAAAACTGTAAAAATAAATTTAGAATTAAAAAATGAAATTTAAATTTTGTAAAAAGCAGTTTATAGATTGATAAATTTTATTTTTGCACCCTGTGTTAAGCAATATGCTATAAATCTAGCTTATTTTTATAAGATTTATATAGAAAATGATAATTTTTAGAGAAATGCATCTTAAATTATGGATAAATTATGCATTGAAGGAATTGGGGAGTGTGTGGTTTCAGATTGGTTACATTGGTAAAAAAAGTGATTGGCAAGCCCATTCCAGAGCTCTCTAAGGGGCCCAAGATTCACCGGCCATGGGATTCGAACAAGCACCATAGTAGCCTATTGCTCATATGGACCACACATTATATGTTTTGATGTTTCAGCAAAGGATTGATGCTGTAGTAATCAGTATGTAAATATTCACTATTGTCCTGTATTTAAATGAAGAAGAACTAACAATTGAACAGGACAAATGTGATTTATATTTTGGAAATATGGGCATTTTCAGTGTAGTGAAACTTGATGTTTTGCTGTGTTGCAGAATGTATTTGCTAGTAATATATACACATAAAAGATTTTCTAGTCATTAAACAGTGTATTTTATGGATAATTGGCTCATTTAGAATAACACAGTTGATATAATTGTTGTTGTTGTTGTTGTTGTAGCTGCTACAGCAGTTAAATTAGGTTAGGTTTATAATGTCTAAACTGCTATTTTCATGCAGGCATGCATTTTTCAGAACACAATATTTATATAAGCTCTCCTGTGTGAATTAGCAAAACTAGCCATTTATTAATTAAGACATTATTTTCTTTCTTTTTCAGATATTAGAATTACAGCATAAATGCCCCTTATATTATTTTCTTAAGCATGTACTAGTGTTGCATATTTTTTCAGACCATGCAGTTGCCAAAGCCTGGGTTTGAGTATATGACCTTACCTTATCCTGGTCAAGATCTATAGAAGGACTCCTTCAGCTCTGTTTGGCAGCAGCTTTGTCAGGACACATTGAGAAGGTAATAACTTATGTCTAGTTTGAAACTTCAGCTATTGGCGGTAGCGCCTCCCAATGCTCGGGTAATATTAAGGTAGTTATTTTGATGTATTTCAGGAGAAAATTTCTCTAATTCTGACTATATTAAGACTTCTCAATGATTTAAAGTGGGGGACAGTATGTGTCATCTTTTTAAAGCCTTATTTGTGTGAGAGTTGGCTAATCTTACTTTGTCAGAAGACATAGCCCATGGTGATATGGTAACCTCTTTGCTAACCTTAAGATTACCTCTGTTTGTCTTTATTGATATCTTAAGCAAACAATGTAGGGTGTGTATGTTGGTTCTTTACTTTATTTACCATGGTATATAGGTAAAAATCATAATCAGTAAGTTTTATTACAATATTGAAGGAAAAAAATTTGAAAAAAGCACATTTAATTGTGATTACTTGTATTTTAACCCAAAATTTCATGCTCTCATTTAAAGAAATTGAGTTTCTATTACAATTTTTAAGCAATAAGGTCTTATTCTTTCATAGAAGTAACTGTATGACATTAGCCGGTAACATTAAACTTTATTCAAAGAAAATCCATTTACAGAATCAAAAGATATGACAGAATTTGTAATATAAATTTTTGCGTAAAATTCTATTGGCCGAGCCTGACTTTTCGCATGAAGGTTCATATTTAAGAAATTGTACCGCATTAATGTAATTTGTTAGAGACATGTCAAACCTATATGACTGTATTTGTATAACACTAAATTACTAGGAAATGAGTATAAAGTTTGGCTTAACTTAAATTTTGGATTCATTTAGGTCTCAACCCGGTACAGAATTAGACCCAGCCCATTGTAGTCTAGAAAGTAGTTCTTTAAAATTATGAAATGGCCCAATTTAAGTCATCTCTAGTTAGATTGTTCATAATTAAAGTGTATTTATTGCATGTGTGTAGTTTTTGTGTGTTATATGATGACTTTAAAAGTTGTTTTTTGTGTATTCTCCAGGAACTCATTTGTTGGTGGAAGGATTAAAGATGTACTACCCACCAGCTGTCAGGAGTTTTTAAAGTGGTGAATTTAAACAGTGTTACAACAGAATGAAGATTTCTGAAAAAAGTAGATGGCTAACCTATTATATTTTGGGCATCATTTGACTTAGATAGTGTTAATGTATAAAGTTGAAGACAGTATATAATTCATCAAGAACATTGGAATCCAGAATTAAACCTCAAATTTGACTGATTTACTATAGAACTAATAGTACGAAAATTCACCGGGCCGAGTCCGAAATAATTTTAAATTATATAGAGCTATACCATTTTATTCCAAAATAAATTCCGCATCTAATGGTATAACTTTTGTGCGAAAACGCGGGAATGTATTAAAAAAAGCTCATTTTACTGGAATTTTCATATGAGTCGTCATTTTCATATGAATACATATAATTGTGTTTTATTTTTCTGGTATATAGTTTATATATAAAAAACCTTAAAAAGCCACCAGACGTTAAAAAATATTTGATTTAGTGCAGTTTGATAAAGTGATCAAGATAATGTTCTAAATCAAAGCACTGCAATCACTGAGGTATACATTTGCTTGACATTACGGCATCCAGTCTTGCATAAGGATTTTTCATAAAATCATCATAAATTACTGTTCAGGAACAAAAGATATTTTATTAAATAACAAGAATTTGGGACAGAAGTACCTGGGCCCCCGCCTCGGGTAAGTTTTATATGAAGCGTAAAATTATGCTGTTTCAAAAGATTGAGGTATGGATCTTAGGACTTTCAGTCCAAAATTATGGTCAATGCTAGATCTGCAAATTCAACAATAAATTTTAAAGAAATAAAATGAATGTTAAGCTTTGACCTCTAAGTGTGACCTTGATCTTGGAGGTAGGGGTGCAGGTGTTGTGCATGACATATGTTATTATTTTAACCATTTGTACCAAGTATTTTTAAAATCCCTTGAACTATGAGGAAGTTCTAGATGGGACACAAAATGAACCCTCTTACAGACTATGTTAATCTTTGACCTCCAAGTGTGACCTTGGAGGTAGGAATCCATGTTTTGGGCCTGACATATCGTCTTATTATAATGATTATTTGTGCAAAGTATTTTTTAAAATCCCTTGATCTATGACAAAGTTATGGACTGGACACAAAATATACCCTATAACCACTTTGTAAATCTTTGACCTCTACATGTGACCGTGACTTTGGAGGTAGGGACACTTGTGTTATGCATGACATGTCATCTTATCATTGTGACTATTTGTGCCAAGTTTTTTCAAAATCCCTTGATTTATGAAGAAGTTATGGACGGGACACAAAATATACCATATAACAGACTGTTAACTTTTGACCTCTAAGTGTGTCCTTGACCTTGGAGGTAGGGGTGCAGGTGTTGTACTTGACATATCATCTTATTATTGTGACTATTTGTGCCAAGTTATTTCAAAATCCCTTGAACTATGAAGAAGTTCTAGATTGGACACAATATCTACCCTTTAACAGACTATGTTAACTTTTGACCTCGAAATGTGACTTTGACCTTGGAGGTGGGATGCAGGTGTTGCTCATGATACATCGTCTTTTATAGTGACTATTTGTGCCAAGTATTTTTAAAATCCTTTGATATATGAAAAAGTTATGGACCGGACGGCGGACGCAAAATATACCCTTTAACAGACTATGTTAATCTTTGACCTCCAAGTGTGACCTTGACTTGGAGGTAGGTGACCGGTTGTTACGCAGGACACATCTTCTCTTTATTGTGAATGATTATGGCAAATATTTACAAAATCCCTTCAAAGATAAAAAAGTAATGGACAGGACACAACATATACCCTCAAATAGACAATGTTAACCTTAATTGAGCAAGTGCGACCTTGACCCTGGAGGTATGGGTCTGGTTGTTGCCATGACACATCGTCTTATGATAACAAACATTTGTGCCAAGTTATTTCAGATTCATTTAATAAATGACAAAGTTATGGACCTCACATGAAAGTGTGACAGACAGACAGACAGACGGATGGAGCCTATTTCTATATTCCCCTTTTTTCTTCGAAAAAGGCAGGGGACAAAAATTATGTATCAATGTAATCATTTTCACGGGATGTAACAATCCACCAGGGTTTTTCAGTGCTCTGCCTGGATCGACCGGGGCTCTGCCTGGGTTAGTTTGGAATTACGGTAGTTAGCTGCCGTGGTTAGTGTGACCGCAACAATAATTTCACCCCGGATTTTCTGTAACATCCCAATAACTTATTGCGGTGGTCCTGGGCTCTCCTGGGAGACCGCAGCTTAAACCGCACTGGTGAGGAGTTAATTAAGAGCTTCTTCCCCCTCATACAAGAAAGGTCAAATAAAGTTGTACTGTTACAATGTCTTATCAAAAGACAATAATTAAATATTTAACAATAGTGACTTAAAACATTATAAATCATTAATATATGCAGACCTGTTATATTTATTAATATCACAACTAGGGTGAGAAAAAAAATGCAGCCTGACTAAGACTCAATCCAGAGACCCTCGGAATACATGTACCATACCTCAGCACTACCAAAAAACCCAGAACCCTTGGAAAACCATACTGCAGGTCTACAACTTAAACATTTTCTCTAATCTTTACATTGACAATTATTACAATTATATTGAAATTTGTCTTTTTTCATTGGAACACTTTTTTTCCATTAATTTAGTTTGAGATTAATCAAAACTTCATTTTCCTTAATATTTTTATGCTTATCTATAGTATAGCACATTATTATTTCTTATCTGTAGAAGATTTGTAGACCTAGAATATGATTGACATAAATTGAACACAATTTGGTATTTATTACCAAATTCCTGTCAGACAGGACTCCCTACTCAGAAAAAGTATGCATCCAAAAGATGCAAATTATTTGAAACTTTGTATCCACAGCAAATTCAATGAGTTCTGGACAGGTAAACAAATCACTGCCCTTAAGGTAACAGGGAGAAAAAGTGCAACCTGACTGGAGCTCAAACCTGTCATGCATTGAATATCATTCCACAGCTCGACCAACTGAGATATAAGGTTTCTTAATTACATTTCTTCTCCCCTCATTATTGAACACCTTAATATACTGTGACATCTCTACCATATTAATTATAATATGCCAAATCAAAGTCATGATGCTGCCCATGGCTAAATGATTCAAAAATATAAACTGAATTAACCATTCATGGGACTTTAAATCAGAAAAAACTGAAAGATGAATGAGAAAATATATTTATTTAAATTTATTATTTTAAATTTTAACATAACTTGGTCTAAGTTCAAAACATCAACAAAAAATATGTTAAGAGAGAACTGTTTAAAAAGATATTTTAATTCCAGTGTAATTATTAATTTTAATGACTTTGATTTGTTAAAAAATCTGAGTTTTGTTAGTTAAATATATTTCATAACAGTCACAACTTTCTGGAAACATATTTTGGTGTATGATAATAGAGTAAAACACATTATTTGGCACTTTTATCATTATTCTAAGAGAAAATATCTAGATAAAGTGTAAGAGTGAGATATAGCATGAATCCAGGGAACTTTGATATACAGTAGTTGCCTAGTTTGCCTCAGTTTCAGATGCAACCCTGGTCCTAGCAGTTTACAGGTCCCATCTGTAAGTTTGTTGACAAATTTTATCAAGGTGGAGATGCTATCTCATGATCCTTGGATCACAATTATCAAGATGTTACAACTCAACAACAGATCACCTCCCTAATGGATAAGATTTCCATTTACTTAATTTGCATTTATTCATAATGATAACAAAACTTTTCTTGAAGGTAATTTAAATATATAGTATTTGTATTTAATTGGTAGGATTATGTCATGGTTCATAACTGTTTACTGTTAAGGGAAGAAAATGTGTAAGTGGCCATAAAGCTCAGTCAGTCAAGCTATGGTATGGTACTTTGAGGGTCCCGGGTTCAAATCCCGGTCAGGCTGCAAATTTTTCTCACCCGGTTACACATTGGCGCCCAACTTGTTGCCTTGACTGCATATAGCTAAGAGTTAATTCACATAGCTCTGTATTACCAACAAACTTCAATATAGCGGAGAAGTAATTATAATGGTTCAGAACTGTATACTATTTTGAGGAGTGATGTGTAAGCAGCTTAATAGCTATGACAGTAGAGCTGTAGTAAGGTATTCTGTGTGTCCCGGGTTTGAGTCCTGTTCAGGCTGCACATTTTTCTCACCGTGTTACAAAATTACCAATTGGTAGGACTTTAATTAGGAATCTTTTGATAATCCTAAATTATAATAATAATCCTAAATTATAATAATATATATAATCAAACTGGACTAAAATTATTAAGTTTTTATATGCATTAAACATTTTTAATTTTGTTGCATGTAATTCTACAAATTGATTAACTTGTATAAGTGATATTGGTGGAGTGACAATGAAAAAGACATATGTTCATGTATATATAGAAAACAACTGTTGAATTTTAGAAATTAAAAGGTAAATTTATTTACAGAATGATGTGGTTCCTGCAGGATTTTCACCAGATGTCTGGTTTGTAAAATTTCAACAAAGGGTAAAATACATATTACAGGGGGCGTCCCTGGCCGAGTGGTTAAGGTTGTTGACTTCAAATCACTTGCCCCTCACCGCTGTGGGTTCGAATCCTGACAGGGACTTTGGATTCTTTCATGTGAGGAAGCTATCCAGCTAGCTTACGGAATGTCGGTGGTTCTACTCTGGTGCCCATTCGTGCTTGAATTATGCATGGAAGAGCACCTGAGGTCTTCCTCCACCAGTAAAGCTGAATGTCGCGATATGACCTATACTGTGTCAATGTGACATAAAACCCAAAACAAACAAGCAAACATATTTCAGTGTGCACATGTATTTGGTATCGTTGGCCTAGTGGTTAAGGTGTCTGCCTTCAATTTGTGAGGTTGAAGGTTCAAGCCCCCACAGGGAAGGTAAATGAAGTATGAAGCCCAAAGTTAAATTCACATTGCATTATAACCTGAGAAATTTGAGGATGAATTTAAATATAGCAGGAAAGTATGTCAATAGCTTTTAGGGGAGAAAATGTATATGAGGCAGGAAAGCTCATTCGGTTGAGCCGTGGTATATGTTCGAGGGTTTTAGGTTCGAGTCCCGATCAGGCTGCACAATATTTTTTTTGTTTTGTTGCTTTCTTCACTTCACTTTCTTTGCCCCCTTGACTGCAACAGAACAAAATAATGAAAAAGAAAGAGAGTCATCGATTGGCCACGCACAGGTGACAGTATGATTAA